AATACGTAAAAATATTGTAAAAATAATTAACATAAGAAATATAATTTGAATTGTTACTTAAACTTTTTTTATTAACCTTGTCCTCAAATGTTATATCAGATTTTGTTTAATTTTGCTATAAAATAAAAGACATATTTTTTATTTAATGTAGATAATCTAACAAAAATAATTGATAAATTATTATAATTTGATGTTCTGATCTCTTGATACTATTTCTAATTACATAGGCATGTATCCTGTCATTAATAAAGTCACCATGTTGTGACTTTGTTAATAACATTCTCCCTATAATTTTTACATTGCATTGTCCAAGGATAAAAATTGCATAATAAATATTTCTGATTTATGTGTGGATATATACGAGGAGTGATCCACTAGCCCTTAAAATGTACAGTGATTCTGGTTTATTCGAATATTATCATATATTCTGGTGTATCTTGCTCGCATACTGGCTTATTCCAACATTCCTGCTTATTTCCTGTCTACATTAATGACAGGTTATTTTTATTTGTTTCATTCAAACAACATACAGTTTTGTATTTAATCCGATAGAAAAATTTTCCTGCATCCAATGATATGTGGCAACTTGATTTTTCGATGTGCTGGATAAGATTTTTTTTGTTAACTTCATAATAGTAAACTTAATGTAGAAATTCAAAAGCAGAAATATATACCTGCTATCAAAAATAATAAGTTTCTACCTTAAATGACATTTATCTCTGCACTAATTTGATTGTTTTTATGGCACCTTTGTCAATTTTGTTTGAGCAGTCAAATTAATTTTCAAAGTATTTTATACACAACCTTCAAAAATGATTACAAGCCACGTGACCAGTAATTTTGTTCGAAACAGTAATTCTATTTATTTTATTTTATAGTGATTGGTGTAATTTTTCATGAGATTTTATTCAAACAATCAGCAATTGCATTATCTCAAGCGTAGACGCAACAATTTGTCATTGTTCATTATAAACGAATGATTAATCTTGATGATGCTTCAGATTTAGGGATTTTTAGTTGACAGTACCAGCCGTACCATGTAGAGTTGCCTAAAATAGGCGGACAAGTAACTTGTAATAATTTATGAAGCCTCTGTATATATTTTTCTTGTACATTTTATTTGGGAAAAACTAATTAGAGAAAAATAGACGATATATTATTTTTATTGATTCCAATGTATTCTGTACACATTAAGTCAAAGAAGTATCCGGAATTTGTCAACAAAACACAATATGTATATTCAATTAATCATTAAAATTTTTGACTCCTTTAAAATAGGCTCCATTTGATGCAATACATTTTTTCCAATGAACAACTCAGTCGTAAAAGCACATTTTAAATTTAAATGTATATTACTTCAGCGATTTTTATTTTATGGCTTTCGAAACGTGTTCCACGAAGCCTCTTCTTAATAAAACAAAGTCCGCATGAGCAAATGAAAAGTCCACCATGCAGTGGCGGCTCGTGATATTGAGAATAGGTGAAGCATATTCATTGACTAAAAAGAAAAAAAAAAAGGGATGCAGGCAAAAATTTTCAAATGTTCATGGTCAAACGACTTTAAATGAATTTTTAGTTGCATTTGCAATATTATCGAAAAACTGATCACGAGGATTTTCATTTAGATTTTATAAAAAAGAGAAATATTAGTTACAGATACTTCCGAACGTACATTTTGTCTTTTGACTTCCCCCTTTTTTCCACATCGAGAGAAGGCACAGGTCTCTTGCAATTTAAAAAATCCTTTTTGTCCTCAATTTTCCATCTGGAAAATGGCGTTTCCAATAAATTACTGGATAATATATAGGAAACATTTCTACAATTTTATTATTGATACCAAACAAATATTAAAAAAGAACCGTTATAATCATGCACTGGGCGACGTATCTTATAAACTGTTTAAAGGCAGGCGATGGGAGAAGGCGATGCTGCTTGAATTTCCGCATCACTCGTTTCCCCACGCCGTAGTTTACTCACGTGTTGGCTGCCCCGTTGCCATGACAACCACGGTAAACAACGCTACAAAGTGAAACGGAATACAAACTGATTTCGATCCGTGTCACTTGTTTATGCTATACATTGTTGTTGTTGTGAGGTTGATGTTTCAGAGCCTGAAATGTCATTTTGGGGTGATTAAGGTGGTCTCCAAGTGGCTTTGAGAGGATACGTAAACTGGTTTACAGTGGCTGACTTTCAGGAGGCATACGAACATTGGAAAAAGCACTGACAACGGTGGATTGATGCAGGTCATATTTTGAAAAGTTGTATTTCAATGTACATATATGTCATTTTCTTTTTATGCCTTCAATCCCAATATTTACTGGACAAACCTTGTATTACCACCGTATTCCGATCAAAATGTACACTGATGCCGACTAGTGGATCACCCCTCGGTTATATGGTACTTAACTTTGACTCTTGAGTTTTTGGTATTCTTAGTGGTCTTATCATTAACCATTATTTTTATTTGCAGGCATGAAATTTTATTTACTTTACAAAAAGTTTTCTTTGGAAGTGATGGACTTTCTCAATATTGTGTCTTCTGCAGAAATATCATTCTAAAGATTTTTAAAAGTTCAATGAACTAAATAAAATTACTAAATAATTTTTTATCATCTTGGAATAAAATCTTTTTGAAATAAATAGGGTGTAATGTACTTCTACATAACAACTGTTTTAAAAGTGTATGAATACTCATTTTTCTTCAATTTAAAGTAAATCAGATTATTGAATCATAGCACAAAAGAGCTCTTATTATTGAACTATTTCCGTTATTTCTCTCTCGTAAATATCTAACACTATTGAGGATGAAATTTATTTATGCCGTAGAATTAATGGTTCAAATCAAAAATTAAAAAATTGCAAAATATACAGGGTAGCCCATCGAAAACGTACCGCAAGGCATTACAGGGTAGTAATGAACTTTTCGGCAAAATCCAAAAACAGGTAAAGTTTGCTTCTGAGGGGGACAACTTTTGGCGCAAAAAGCATAGCAAAATCTTCAACCCCCTAAGTGGGGGTGCCATCCCCCAAATTTTTTTAAATGGGAATGGGGGTCAAGTGGGGGGTCATTAGAAAGGGCTTTTAATTCTCTATACATCGATTCTTACTTTTTGAAAATCGATCCATTATTTTAGAAAATATGCAGCTTTGAAAATACGAACAATATTTTTGACGAGAAATGCGAAAATCGATTTAATTTTACTTCAAAACTTACGGTATTAGCTTGGTAAATTCCTTCAAAAGAATTCGCTGTTTTTTTTTTTGATTTGCGAATTCTTTAGCCTGATTTTGGTGAGCAAAAAATTGTCCGCTTTTTGTTTCGTATTTAGATAGGCCACAAGAAGTTGCTAGATAACTGTCTTGTGACTTGTAGTTGAAGAGTACCAATACTGCCGAGTCTTTTAAATTGATTAATTATGGTGTACTCAATTCCAGAAAGAGTAGAAATTATTGAGCTTTTTTTCAAAAACAATGAATGCGGAAATCGGGTCGCCGAACTGTTCAACCAACGGCATCCTGAGAAACATGCGTCTGGAAAAATTGTTCGCGAATTGGTGGCCAAATTTCGCGAAACTGGCTCCGTTCATAACAAAAAGAGGCAGGTTGAAAATCCGGTACTAAATGAACCTACGGAAATAGCGGTATTGGGGCAAGTGGCAATGGATAGTACGCTGAGTACAATGCAATTGGCTACTGCGACAGGAGTGAGTCGTACAAGTGTCCAACGAATATTAAAAAAATACAAATTCCATCCTTATAAGATTCGGCTAGTGCAAGAGCTAAATGAAGACGATTTTGATCGTCGTTTGCAATTTTGCGAAATAATGACTGAACGAGCGATAAACGATAATTTCCTCTTTAATGTGTGTTTTTCGGACGAGTGTACGTTCTTCTTGAATGGTTTAGTGAATCGCCATAATTGTCGTTACTGGGCTGATACCAATCCAAGGATTTTCCATGAGACACACTCCCAACACCCCCAGAAGTTGAATGTATGGGCAGGTATTTTTGGAAATTCCATTGTAGGTCCTTTTTTCCTTCCTGGAAATTTGACAGGCGATATGTACTTGGATTTACTACAAAATGTCATCGACCCAGCTCTAACAAATATCATAGAGGACGACCCTGCTTACAATGAACACGAACTGATTTTCCAGCAAGACGGAGCTCCTCCACATTACTCGCTCAATGTGCGCAATTACCTAAATGAGACGTTTCCAGGACGCTGGATAGGACGAAGAGGTGCAATTGAGTGGCCCCCTCGGTCACCCGACTTAAATCCTTTAGATTTCTTTCTCTGGGGGCACATTAAAAGCAAAGTTTACAGCACTCCACCTGATACCTTGGAAGATCTGCGAGGACGAATCATTAATGTATGTCGCGAAGTAACACCGCAAGTGCTCCAGAATGTTCGACAACGGTTTGAAGACAACCTGTATCATTGTATGCAAGTTGGCGGACAACATTTTCAGCATTTACTTGACTAATACCGTAAGTTTTGAAGTAAAATTAAATCGATTTTCGCATTTCTCGTCAAAAATATTGTTCGTATTTTCAAAGCTGCATATTTTCTAAAATAATGAATCGATTTTCAAAAAGTAAGAATCGATGTATAGAGAATTAAAAGCCCTTTCTAATGACCCCCCACTTGACCCCCATTCCCATTTGAAAAAATTTAGGGGATAGCACCCCCACTTAAGGGGTTGAAGATTTTGGTATGCTTTTTGAGCCAAAAGTTGTCACCCTCAGAAACAAATTTAACCTGTTTTTGGATTTTGCCGAAAAGTTCTTTTCTACCCTGTAATGCCTTGCGGTACGTTTTCGATGGGCTATCCTGTATATGAATATTATGAGCGCATCTAAAAAAATGCAAAATGACCTTATTGAGATTTCTTAATGAATTCCTTTAATAGTTCATTAGTGGGTGAAAAATTGTGAACTCATTTTATACCAATAGTTTGATGCCATGAGCGTAAAAATTTTAAAAAATCACTTACCATTTTTGGGGATTACTCTATCCAGACCATGCATTGTTTGAATCTCATAACTGTCGTCCAGATCCCAGGCATTCTGGAAAAATATTATAAATTATTATTATTTAATACTGAAAAGTTTTATTTCTGCGTTATAGTTTAAAAAAAACAGGATCAGGACAAATACATTATTTAATTAAAGATATTAGATTTGTAAATATTTTTATGAAGATATTTCAAAGTTTCTAAAGCATCATCTAAAACGATGCTTTTTTATTTAACTCTCTTCTCTTCTTCTATTTCAAATAAACCGTCAGAGTTTGAGTTCTGCGTAACACGGGCAACAGTGCATGGTTGTTCTATGCTATTTTTAAATACCAGAGTAAAGTCAGCAGGTTTTCTATTAAAATATATTTATTTTAAATTTAACTTCCTCATTATCAAAATATGATTTTTTTCTTTTCATCAGCTGCCACTGCTAAGAACATATGAGTACTAGGTATTATATACAGGGTTTGCCATTTAACACTCCCGCTGCCAATATCTCCGAAATGAAGAAATTTATTTTAGTTCCGGAAACTGTGGGTGTTAGGTCTCTCGAATAGCTTCAAATTGTATTTAGAATTTTTCTGTATAGATGGCGTGGTGATACTAAAAAATTTTTTGTTCCCTGGAACGTGAAAATACAGTCCATCTGAAAGATTGTTAAATTTTGACTAATTTTTGTAATATAAAGTTTTTTCCTATATTTACTTGTTTTCAAGATATGCCTACTTCAATATGCAATGTATGATATAACATACGTCGATAGTAAGACCCAGGATTCTTTACGGCGCTGTGGTATGGTGGCAGAAAACACAACAGACCACGGCGAGGGAAAAACTGAATAGAATTCAGAGATTGGCCTGTTTAGGTATAACGGGGGCGATGGCATTGACCCCGACAGCTGCACTAGAAGTCATGCTAAATCTGCCACCGCTGCATATAGTGGTGGAAAGAGAAGCGCGGCTAGCAGCATATCGACTCAGGAATAACAATGACTGGAGGGGTGATTCCCACTCCAGGATCATAGACACATCTATGTCGGAACCAACTCTTGGGATGGTATCCGACAAAATGGTTCCAAGGTTTCACTTCCACAAGCCATTTGAGACTCGAATAGAGGATCAAAGCGAGTGGGAGGAAAGGTTTAATACCCTGGAAAGGTGGAGCCTAGTATGGTTTACAGATGGCTCCAAAATGACCAGAGGGACGGGTGCAGGAATATATGGACTCAGACCCAGATGGAGTGCAAGCTACAGTCTGGGGGAGTTCCCTACTGTATTCCAAGCAGAAATCTTCGC